GAGTGTCACTCAATTCACCAAAGATATGGAGATATGCCTCAAGTCCCGTGAGAGGTGCCTTGAGTCAAAAAAGGCTAAGAACCACTGTTCTGGTGGCTGCTGTGATAGTAACAACATAAGTGTGAATACAAATGACACCATTAATTTTGTCAGGTCATGAGCAACTTTAAAAACACAAACACACACACACAAAACAGGGCATCTATGACTTAGACTCCTCTCAACCCTATTCACAAAGGGGATAGCGCAAGAGGTGATAGTCAGGATTAACAGGGTATCACCATTCCTTCCTCTGCTGCTATGCTGCAAGGAGGAAGAACAATGGGATCTCACACAATTAAAAGGGGCTGGATACAGAGACCCAGTGAAACTACATGAGAACACCATCCCTGAAGAGGGATGCTTTCTTTACAAATCCACTGCCCCAAGCCCAGACTTTGTGCTTCATACACCCTCTCATCTGATTGTTTCACATAATCCTCTGGCAAGACACAGCAGCAACACCTCTCAAGTCCATCCTGCCATCACCAGCATGTAGAGAGACTGCCTAGGAATGCAAAGAAGTCAGAGGAAAAGACTCCTTTGAGCAGAGACTGAAGCTGGATATGCCTCTCCCAACTATTCTTGTATGGCCTCCCCCCAACCACTCTTCAGCATCTCCCAGTTCCACAGCCTCAAGGTGACACTCGAGCAGGAAGTCTTCATTCCAACACTGCATGTGATAATGTGGATGCAAGTCACTCTAGTGGCATGCACCTGCTAGAAAAGTTCTCAGCTGCACATCCACAAGTCAAGAATCATGTTGGCCAATCCAGTGTTGGCTTTTGACACCCAGATATTTATGCACTGGTTTTCACAAGTACTTGGCAACCACAGGTCCTAGTGAAATCAATCCAAGTCCCCCATCATCACAACACCTGTGGGCCTCCCATGTATTTTGAATCAGAAAGGCAACAGTGACAACTTTTCCAGCCAATGGCCTCCCAGGCTCCATGGCCTCTTGGGAAGTCAAGCCAACATCACTAGTCTAAAAAGCTACCCAAGGAACATACAAAGTGGAGGTGGTGGTCAACAAACACCCGTTGTCTGATGAGAATTCAACAGCCAAACTCAATGGGCAAAGATTGCATGAAAATAACCATGTACATACTGGCTAGCCAGCCTTTCAAATGACAGCCAAGTGCACCTCTCACCTGTCTCTGAGTTTTGAATGGGAGAGGTGAAAGAAAATGTCTAGAGACCCAGTACCTAATTCCACATCAACAATCCATGGGGAGAAAAAGGAATTCCCAGCATCCAAGCTCATTTCCATTATGCTACTACCCCTAGCAGTATACTCAGGCTGGGCACAGCTTACAGATTGCTGAGGTTTTGCAAACTAAGATCCCAGGTCAGCAAGATGGAGCACGCACCTAACACTAAGACCCACTGACCTGGATGGAGATGAAAACAAGAGACAACAACAAAGATCTCCAGGCTCTTCACAAACAGCTATCAATTCTCACCCGTTCACTCTAGGTAGGAAGTAGTTGAGATGACCAAGGGACTGAAAACCCCATTTGCAAATACTGATCCACTGTTTAGTACAATTATAGTCTTGTCCTTGGCAATTGTTTATTCTTCACGGTTTTCAAATGGTTTATATTAATTCTTTGGAATATTTACAAAGATGATACTACCTGTCTGTACCTCAGACACATGTAGACAGGGGTGACTATGTGCAAATAAGCTTTTTGCCACTCTCCTGCTTCAGCAATTTAAGTTAATCAGAGAAGAGAAATGTAACACAGCTATTAGAGATATCAGTTCATAGAGATTCCCAGGAACTGCAGTTTGTTCAGATGTATTATTTAAACAACAAAGAATTGGGGGAGAATTCATGCTGGTATTTAAAAGAATAAGAAAAAGGGGCTAAATTAGCTCAGTGCATCATTAGTTATGAAGAAATCATTTGCTTGGTTCTAGTAAGAATCATTATCTCCATTTTATAAATAGGAAAACTGGGGCATAAAAAAGCAACTACACCAGGACAATATTATTTACAAGACTAGGGACACAAACCAGGAGTTCTGACTCCAATACCTCACTCTAGCACCTAGGTGACACTGCTTCTTCTCTAAATATTAGTCAATGAGAAATTAAGATTCTCTGTTTAATCCTGGATTTATTTTCCTGAAACATCCAAGAGTGCAACTGCCTACAGTTGTTCCTAAGAAAGGTAAGAGTGGCCATCTACCCAAGTGCCTATGCATGCTGTATAGTTAGTATGAAAAGAAAAGATCCAGGGTCCAAAACTTTTTGGCAGATGTTAAGGGGAAAAGCAATATGAGCAAGTTTCCCATAATTCAGACAGATTTGTGATTTCTGATTCAGAGAGGGCTTTTTTAATGGACTGAAAAAACACCTTGTGGAAAGCTCTAAAGTCACTTGCTATTTGAAGAATTAGTACAAATCTAACATCATACAAGATGAAGAGGATGGAAACAACAAAACTGAATGACATTCCAATATTTGTGGGAAGAGAGGTATGAAGTCAGCTGGGCTGGGTCAGTTTGTCACCAACCTTCTCCAGAACTTCTCCAGCTGTTCCAGTTGCAAGGAGAACGTATATTCTCAGCACAGGGTGTGCGCTGAGCAAGCAGAAATCCTGCACGTGGCTCTGGACAGAAATGCCAGCTCCCTTCTAAGGATGCGACAAGGTGCCTCCAGATTTAATCCCACACAAAATGTAAATTTAAAAACTTTCTGTTCAGATAAAAAATATCAACATTTGCAGTTTCAGAAGATCCCAGAACAGCTTTTTTTTTGGTGAAAAACACCTAAGCTTCCTTCCTCTAGAGGAGGCTTGACACAGTCTGTAAGTGTCCCAACGGTCAAAAAGAGTAGAAGTCCATATCACACTTTCTCTGCCTGCTCGATCACCTCAAGGTCCTACCTTCCCACTTCCTTCTAACTTAAAGTCATCATATGGGGCAGTTCTCCCTTGCCCTGCATCTTGTGCACTCCTTCACACCAGTGCAAAGTGACTATAAAATCTGGCAGCTTTCTAGTATGTGTTGTGTGTGTAAACAACTGCACAAAGACTAGAGACAGACCCTTAAAATGCACACTTCCACATCTCCAAAGTTTCCATACGAAAAACATTCAACAGTAGCTTCTCTTCCCTCCACCATTACATAAGAGAACTGGACTTGCATTAAATGCAAGGATTCACTTTGCACGATAGGATGAGGTTACCGCATGCCGTGTTCAGAAAAAAAATTCTGATTAAAAAACCCGTAAATATTTCTCAGAGATCATGCAGGTATCCCATTCCCCTGCAGGAGCACAAAGTCCTATTGTAACTTTAATAAGGGTGATATCTGCATTAGCAAATGTGGTGCTTTGCTCTTAGCATTACTGTAGCTACACTTGTGCAAGCATTAGTGCTAACAGGCCTTAAATGTTCCCAGTACCTGAAGCCCTGCTCTGCTTGTACATTGCCTCATGCACGGGTTATTTATCTACCACTTTCTTGGGAGACTATTCTACTTTTTAACAGATCTCAGGAACTGTTTCTTGTTATATTACCCTTCTCTTTCCCATTCTTACTTGTATCCCTATAGTTTCTCTGCTTCTTGGGGTTAAAAGTCTGTTCTATCTTTTCCCAATCAAAGACTGACCTATCCCACACAAATAATAAATCTACCCCAGGGAGAGGGTCTCTCTCAGTGGTACTTCTGAGGGATTTTGAATCAACACAGTTTTCTGCGTTAGTGGGAACATCCTTCATCTGGGTGCAAGCTGTGCCCAGTAACAATCTGGTTTACCCCACAGTACGCAAGATACCAGCTTCACGCCACTTGTTCATTGTCAGAGACACCCATGAGGCAAACCACTCATCAAGCACTGTATTAATAGATTTAAAAGGCTAGAAAAGAGCATTATGATCATTTTGTTCAACATTCTGCAAGATACAGACCATAACACCATCCAGGTTCATGCATCAAATATGTACCTCATGCGCCAAGCATTGGTTCCAATCCCATGACTCATGGGCAACATGTTGCCTGTGCAACTTGCCCAACATCACTTGTGACCACAGGAAGATAAAACAAGTAAAAAACAAAGCAACAAGCAGAGCCAGGAATAGCGTTACCTACAGCACATTACTTGCTTGGCATTGCTGCACAGAGGCCAGTGGACGATAAGGACTGCTGAGCTAAAGCATATCATTCAGAAAGATGTTCAATCTTGATTTAATGTCTGACTGATGGAAAATCCACCATAACTAGGGACTTACCAAATTCACGGTGTAAGTGCGGTGCGCTGTGGCTCCTTCAATCTCACAGGTTCCCCCATGCCTCTGCCCCACTAATTGGTGGAGGGGTCCCACTTGCAGCTTGCTCCTGATCAGCAGGGAGGCAAAAAGTGCCAGGGAGGCAAAAAGTGCTGATCAGCAGGCTGGGGTGGGGGAGGCGGTAGAGGGTGAGGTGTGTTTGGGGGAACATGCAAGATTAAAGGAGCTTCTGCACACTATACTTCTGCCACAAATTTGGGAATTTGGTAGGTCCCTAACCATAATCCTAGGTATTTTTTTCCAATGGTTAGTTACCCACACTCTTAAAAAACTGCACTTAAGTTCTAGGTCCAGTGTATCTAATTTAAATTTCCAGCCCTTCGATCTTGTTCCATCTTTGTCTGCTAGATGAAAGAGCATCTATCGGAAACCTTCTTCTCACCGGTTCCCACTCTAGGACTGGTCAAGTAAGTGCTTAGCTTTCTCATTATTAAGATGGAAACCTGTTCTGAAGACGCACAAAAAACAGGAACGGCATTTGTTAAACTTACAGACATAATAATAACGTTTCAGAAAGAAAATCCACAACCCAACACAAAGATTCCATTCTTTGTCCCCATCTTAAATATATTGTTAAGAAATACGAGGTTGCTCCTGTCACCTGAACTGGTAATTTTCTAAGAAAGAGGTAGTTTTAGCAACTTCTCTGCTGCGGACTCACTTTCTGGGTCATATAATAAGGGTCAAAGTCCTCCAGTGGTACAGCAACCAGGCCTTTTGGGATATCTCCATAGATGAAAGGCAAACTCTTCCCTGCCTCGAGGTCACTGTTTGGTTTTGGTTTGCTGTCTTCGTCGTCATCCCGGTGGCTGCTGTCCTGCTTTGGACGCTTCCTCTTCTTCTCTTCTGCAACGCGTTTCTCAATGTTAGCCAGAGACTCTGGGGTGAAACGTTTAAAACTATCAGGGCCGGGTGGTGCAATAAGCCGTGCTGCCATCTTTTCATCCTGCAGCAGCTTCTTTAGTTATGTTGCGCCCGGGACAGGTCAGCTCTGCATAGAATAAAAAAGTACAGACAAGACAAATAGTCAATCACTGCCCAAGAGACAGACAAGTGCATCTACTGGACAACCAAAAGACCCGTGACAGCCTTCAACCTACAAGCCATTACTCAGTGCCACGCAGAGCAAACTGAATTAGGGACAAGGATTAGCATCTACATTCGAAGAGGGACTCAGTCTCTGTCCTTTGCATGCCAGATCCCTCACTTCCATGTACAGCTGGATGGAAACAAGCTTTCCTGCCCTGAAAAAACTTGGATATAAAAAATTCCTCTTGTGTTGAGATGAAACAAATAATTTTTGAAGGTTTTTTGCAAGAGTAAGAAAAAAGGAAGTAAGGCCCTCACTTGGATGTGGGAGACCCAACTTTGAGCCAATGAACATCTAGTTACTTATGCAAAGTGCAATAGCTGCAAATAGGGAGCTCACTCCAGAACAACCAACACCCTCATGTTTGGACACCCCTCTGGGCTATGAGATGGGAGTAGTGCAGGGGCGGGAACCTGGAGAGCCCACATTCCAGGACAACACTAGTGGCCATTGCTTTCTCTCTCATCCTGGAACTGAAAAACCTCTCAACAAGAGTTACATCAGCACTAGTTACATTCCCACAAAATGTTGATTTTGACACATCATTGTTTTCTGACCAATTGTTTTGCTGCAGACTTCCTTACTGGCTCAACTCCCAGTGCAGAGACAGGATGTGTGGTTGGGGGGGAGAGTAGATGTGCCTAAGAAGGGTTGGCTGTGAACACATTCCTCACCATCCCAACCATATACTGATCAAAGCATACCTTTGTCTAGGCTCATCCATGACAACAAGCAGGAATAACTTGGGGGTGGTTTTTCCAAAGCTCAGACAACACCAGGAACTAAACATGCTGAGCTTTTTGGAAAACCTGGCCTGTTTGGCCCAGTCTGTATCACCAAAGTTACCTACAAGTTCCCCTAGCAACTCCAGTGGGTAGAGGGCTAAGTCTTTTAGGGAGCCTAAAAGACTTGTTGATAGAGTACAAGTTCTTTTACATGCCTCAACATACACATCTTTTTCAACTCTGAAATCATTTGCCCAACATATCACCCTTCCATTATGTAAGAACAAGTCTTATGAACTGCTTTATTAGACATACTCATTAACTAATGAGGTTTCTGGAAAATGGTAAACATAGGACTCCAAAA